TCTCGCTTGCAGATGTCCTTGTAACACAGTTGTGGTCTCCCTCTGGGGCGCTTTCCCTGCACTAATTCTCCATACAGGAGATCCTTTGGAATTCGACCATCAGCCATTCTCACGATGTGCCCAAGCCAACGTAGTCGTCGCTGTTTCAGTAATGTATCCATGCTGAAAATTCCAGCTCGTTCTATGACTACTCTGTTTGGAACTTTGTCCTGCCAGGTGATACCAAAGATCCGTCAGAATGAAACATGGAACATTGCTATAAATGTAAAGTTTAAGAAAGTAGAGGTGAAAAGGAATAATTTCTATGATATATATGGCAGATTTCTTGACTATGTGCTAACAAGAGGAAAAGGGAAAGGTCCAAATCAGGAATCGATGCAGTTCTGGAGAACAGGACAATAAAGGAAGAAGAAGCATAAAGATAGAGGAAGAAGAGGGTTACTGCAGGAGGTCCTGACTAGGGTGGTGGGGAACACAGTCGATTTGTATTTTGGTTTATGTATTTTATGTTTATGTTTATGTTATAGTTAAAATTTTTAAAAAAGAAATGGACCTTCCTGGCCTTTTGTGTCGCAAAGTCATTAAGTCATGAAGGCCTTGTAGCTGCACTCAGTAATTTGTGATTCAGGGAACATGAGGGGTAACAGGGGAGAGAATGGATGGATATGGTGCAGAAGAAAAGATTATGTTCCTTTAAGAACTGTCTTTTAAAGAAGGGATCAAAGAGGAGCTATTGCCCTTTGACAATCTCTTACTCACGCCTTTCCCTGTGGCTGCCTTAGGAGGCCAGTTGGGACTCTCTGTGGAGGAAAATAAAAATAAATTGGAGTGCTTAGCAAAAAAGACTACCTTTGGTGCTCTTCTGTCTTGCTCACATTCAGCCTGTGACCCAGCTTTGCCAAGCGTGTTCCCTAAATCTCAGTGGGGAGAATGGGGTCTTCATGTAGAACCAGAAACATGCAAATACTGCAGTGAGGGGGTGCAGGTATGGCACTCCTAACTGAACTGTCTGGCCCCAGCACACAAGTGTAGGGAATTTGGGAGGAAGGTAGGTTGTCTCAGGATCAGATGGATGGGAGAGTAAGTTTTCTCAGGATCAGGCTGATGTAGCTGAAGGAGAGCTACATCAGCCTGATGTGGCTCTCCTTCCACTGATGAGAAACATCTGGATGAGGTAGGATCAATAAAAGGAGAATAAAAGAACAAGACTGGGAAGGCAGAGAGTCCTTACCTATCCGAAGAAGAGGACATGTTGGAAAATGCAAGAGAGGAGAACAGTGGAAGCTGTCCACCTTCACCCATTTTATTTGCTTGAAACAGGAGTGAGACTCCAGCCAAATGGCTTGGGCCAGGCTGTGTTAGCCTGAACGCTGCTGTAGCCCCAGAGAGGCCAGTGAGGGAAGGGCCTGGTAGAGAGGAGCTGCTGAGCCTGACTTATCTTCAGGCCTTCTTTAAAAGGGGTGCTTCCTTAGCTCACGCTCTCTCCTCTTTCCTGCTTTCCAGAACATGGACTCTGTGGAATTCCGGAGGAGTTAGCTCCCAAATTGGCAAATGTTATCCAGGAAATCAGAGACTACAATTCAGCCCTATGAGATGGCGGGGAGAAAGGCAGGGGAGAATGATGCTGAACCACTAATAAAAGCTGTTCTGAGTGAAGACACTGAGCCAGAACCCATGGCGTTATTGCTGGAGGACCATGGACTTTTGATGGATGCCAGCAGAACTGTCATGGACCCAGATAAGAGCAAGATCAGAGTGTTTTCAAAAGAACACAAAAAAGTTGACACCAATAGAGATGGGGATATTTGTATTTGTAAATGAATACCAATATCCCTGTCTGAGTTGGACCTAAGGAGGGTCCGCCTGGGGGACTGGACTATCTGCTCTTGTATTCCTGCTCCCACCAAGCTCCTGCTCCTCCCACCAATGGCTTCAGAAACTCTGCTGTCTCTCTGCACTCAGAAGCCATGCAGGGAGATTTGTCCTCCTGCCCTCTACCTGGGGTGGCCAGTGGAGCCCCTGGCGCCAGTGGTGGGAAAAGTGGTACATTTGCAGTGCTGGGACAGATGAGTGGATAGTCTGGTCCCTTATGACATCCCGCTGGAACAAGGATATTCATATTCATGATTAATATTCCCCAATTCTAGACTCCAATTTTTGCCCTCTTTTATTCAGGTGCTGAAAGAACAAAGGGGGGCTTTAACTGCTACTATATAAAACACCAATTTTTGGGAAAAAAAACTATTAATAAAATTTGCTTAGGGCAAATGGGGTAGAGTTTTGTTTCAGCTTCTTTCCCAAAAATTTGCCACAATGTACAAATTTCTTTATATTTGGGGATGGAAAGAACTTCAGGTTCACAAATTTCAGAATTTTTTTGTACCAAACTTCTTACCTTTAGCGTTCCTATTATTCCCTTCTTATGAAGATTATGCACCTTTGACACTAGTGGAGTAAGCAGGCACCTTATGGAGGCAACCCATCCTCATTGGAAGGGGTTTTGATGGAAGCTAAACCTGTTGAGTTCCTACATTCAAGGGAACTTTTAAGGCACAGATCCTCTGTCTGCATTCCTCCTCTGTGGAACCTTGGCTGCTGAAGCTCCACCCTGTTGCTGTTTGACTTTATTTCCCCACAAATGGGGAATGTCTGATTCTTTGCCCACTTCATTTAGGAAGTGACTTAGCAGAAGAAGTTTCTGAAAGCATTTGATGTGGGAGGAGTCAATTGTAGCCCTTCGTAAATGGTCGGGCTACCTGCTCTATCATCCTTAGCCAGTACAGTCAGCGGTGTGGAATGATGGGATGTATAGTCCAGCAACACATTTGTGGCCACAAATTACTTACTCAGGATGTTAAAAATGGCTAAAGCTGGTGTGATAAATGAATTATGTATCAAGTGATGGTCTGTATTTTGAACGAACTTTTAAACACCTCAGGGGAGGTGGGGGGGGGAGAGAAAGAAACAAAAGCTAAATAGCTTTAGGAGTCCAAAGCAGTCACAGAGGCCCTGCGATAATCTCTATGCATTCCTGAAACCAAGAGGATTATAGTTCCTCGTGCTTCTCAGCAAGATCATATGACAGCCCTCTGATTCCTGCAAAAAAGCAGGCAAAGTTTTCCCAGCCAGATATCCACTTTCTAGAGGATGCTCAAACCCAACAAGGTCCCATCTTGTTCAAACCAGAGAGCTGTTCACAAGGTTTTGGTCATTCTTACTCATACGCTTAAGACTGCAAAGCTGGAAGGGACCCTGTGGATAATTGAGTCCAGGCCTTCTCAAGGAGGCACAGCGGGGAATCAAAGCCTCACTGCACCAACTAGCAGTTCTTACTGTGGCTGCTTGTACATCGCAGGGAAAAGAGATGCAGATCGGCTCATGTCGCAACTCAAGGTGTGTTAAGACCTACCATTTGGTCCAAAACACGTATGGTTAGGAAGACTGAGTAAGTGATTTAGGTCTCTGCTCAGCCTGCTGTCCAGGCGGTATCATCACCTGCTGCAGCTCCAGAGGTGGAAGTAGAAAGTGGAGGGGGTGGAGTACCTTATCAGGATCAATGCACTGAAGCCATTGAGGTCAACTTGAATGCTTTCATAAGGATAACATCTTTGTTCCAGATCACAAGAACATCACGGTTATCCCTCTGTCTTTCTCAGAGATGAGGAAATGTTACTTCGGGGAGCTAAAAGGCAAAAAAATGAAAAAGGTTTCTAATCTTTTGGCAGAAGGAAATTAAATTGGGTGTCCTTTAATCGAGTCGGCACACTTTCTAGAGATGGGGAATTCGTATTTGTAAATGAATATGAATATTCCCATCCCAACTGGACCTAATGAGGGTCAGTACACACCATCCACTCATGCATCATGGCCCTGCGAAAGTCCCTTTCTTCCCACCAATGGCAATCAGAGCTCCGCTGTCTTCCTATTTGTCTAGCCACTCCAGGCAGGGGGCGGGAGGATGAGTCTCCCCGTGTGGCTGCTGAGTGGTCAGCTGAGCAGGATGACAGCGAAGCTCTGGGCACCATTGGTGGGAAGGGCAGTACCTTTGTGTTGCCATGACACATAAGCTCCCAGGAATATTCATACTCGTTTGTGAATACAAACATCCCTGTTTCTGTTATAAACATTGAGTCCTCCAATTACATTCCAAATAAAACCACAGAGGGTCAAGAAACAAAATCTACATTTATTGCTCATACCAGTGGCGGTCCTCCAGAGTATGAGCCCTGGATGCACCCACCCCTAAAATATGTTATTTGAAATAGCTTTTTAAAAAATATGCCAAAATTAAATAAATGAATAAACCAACCCTCACACCCTTTGGTTATGGTTTAATTCATTTTGGAACAATTTTTATTTTTGCTCCCCAGAGCGGTTTTATTTTTGGAGGGGGGAGGCAGGCGATGGACTGTACTCATGTCTAAAACTGCCCTTTCCTTTGAAGGAAGAGCATGTGGGATTTCAAACCTCTCTGCTTTTTCCGTTTTCCATTGTGCTGATCTCATGCCACTCAAAAGGCCCGGATTTGGTTTGTGGAATGTCTTTTGCGGCTTCCAGCCAACCGCAAAAACCCAACAAGACATTTTATCATGGCCCAAGTTCCTGTGTGTGTGTGTGAGAGAGAGAGAGACTGAAACCTAACAAGACATTTTATCACAGCCCAAGTTCCTGTGTGTGTGTATGTGAGAGAGAGACTGAGAAATGTACTTTCTGCAGTCGGGCACATCAAAAGCAATCATGTGCTAGGCAGAGGACGAGAGTTTTCAAGGAACTCTCTGTATAAGCAGAGCCGAAGAGGGAGGGTGGGCAAAAGTTACTTGGATGCAGCCCAGAACATGTGATAATCAGATTACAGAAAAATTGTGTGTTTATGCATGAGGCAAGGATGGGAAGTGATAGTGCACGATGCACAGAAAAGCAGGATATAGAGTAAAACTTCTCAGGGCTCCAGGAGAGACAAGAAGGTCCTCATTGCAGGTTGACTGAGCTTTTGAGGGAGAATGCCTCTTTTCTCCATCGGGTTCCTCCTCAGCTTTCTCCCCTTTGGATCTAGCCAGTTCCCAAGGATGTGCGCCAATTCCGAAAGCCTGCTGAGGAAAGAGTGTTGCCCTCCCTGGCCGGGAGACGGTTCTCCTTGTGGGGAGCTTTCAGGGAGGGGATCCTGCAGAGACATCCTTCTCTCCGATGCCCCTCTTGGTCCTCAGTTCCCCTTCTCTGGAGTGGACGACCGAGAAGACTGGCCCGCTGTGTTTTATAACAGGACGTGCCAATGTTCGGGCAATTTCATGGGGTTCAACTGCGGAGACTGTAAGTTCAATTTTGTCGGTCCTGACTGCAGCGAAAGGAAGATGAGGGTGAGGAGAGACATCTTCCGGATCAGCGTTAGAGAAAAGGACCAATTCCTGGCCTACCTCAACTTGGCAAAGCACACCTCCAGCCGGGATTTTGTCATTGCCACGGGGACGTACGCCCAGATGAACAACGGGTCAGTGCCCATGTTCCGGGACATCAATGTCTATGACCTCTTTGTCTGGATGCATTATTATGTGTCTCGGGACACTCTGCTCGGAGGCACAAATGTATGGCGGGATATAGATTTTGCCCACGAGGCCCCGGGCTTCCTTCCTTGGCATCGGCTTTTTTTGCTCATGTGGGAACAGGAGATCCGGAAACTGACCGGGAATGAAAACTTCACCATCCCTTACTGGGACTGGCGCGATGCCCAGAGATGTGACATCTGCACGGATGAGTACATGGGTGGCAGGCATCCTAGCAACCCGAACCTCCTGAGCCCAGCATCTTTCTTCTCTTCGTGGCAGGTAGGCAGAAGGAAAGAGAAGCAAGGAAGAAATGAACCCCCCTCCCCTTTTTTGCTAGGTTTTCTGCTCTTTTTTCTTTCTGTTCAGTAAGCATTGCAGTTCGCCTGTTAAAGCAAGCAACCCAATTATTTTATGTTTCTAAAGGATGCGGGCACTAATGTCACTTTTTGTGAATGGTGGCATATTTACAGTAGAACAGAGAAACAAAATTACTCCCCCGACACACACACACACACATTTTGAAAAATTGTCAAAAGAAAACCAGCATAGAATGACCTTGGAACTGGGAATGGGAACTGACAAAGATGGATGTGAATCTGTAATGTCTGTAATGGAAGAGAGAATTTCACTCTTTTCTAAACTGATGTGCTGGCATAATGCTGTGATTATTTAGGGTTTCACTATAGATGAGACATATTCCTTTTCTGAGGTATGTTGCTATGTGCTATCAAATACCCTCTGACTTCAGGCGACCCTATGAATGAGATCTCTGGCATGTCCTGTCCTCAACTGCCTTGCTGGGCTCTTGCAAACTCAATGCTGTTGATTCCTTTAGGGAGTCAATCCCTCTTGTATTTGTTCTTCCTCTTTTCCTGTTGCCTTTAATGCTGTTGATTCCTTCAGGGAGTCAATCCCTCTTGTCTTCCTCTTTTCCTATTGCCTTCCACTTTTCCCAACATTATTGTCCTTATCTTCTCATGATCTGGGACAGCCTCCGTTTCAACATTTTTGCCTCCACAGGCTTGATTTGATCTTGTCTGTTTTTCTGGCAGTCCATGATATTTGCAAAGCTGTCCTCCAGCACTACTTTTCAAACAAATCAATTTTTTCTTCTTCTCAGCTTTCTTTACTGTCCTGCTTTCACACCCATACATGGTGATCGGAAATACAGTGATGCCTTGCAAGATGAAAATAATTCATTCTGCTAGTAGTTTCATATTGCGAAAAAGTCATCTTGCGAAGCATGGTTTCCCATAGGAGTGCGAAAATGTCATCTTGCGAAGCGTGGTTTCCCATAGGAATGCACTGAAATTTAATTAATGCCTTCATATTCGTCTTGCGAAACACGGCCATAGAAAAATTTGTCTTGCGAGTCACCAAAAATCCCAAAGCATTTTTGTCTTGCGAGTTTTCGTTGCATGAGGTATTCGTCTTGCGGCATTTTCGTCTTGTGAGTTTTTGTTGCATGAGGTATTCGTCTTGCGAGGCATCACTGTATAAGAGAGTGGATGGTGTTTGTCTTGATCGCCAATGACACATCCTTGATGGATCTTTTCTAATTCCTTTATTGTTGCCTTCCAAGTCTCAATTGTCTTCTGATTTCTTGACTGCAGTTCTGAGGTCTATCCTTCCCCAAATCCCCCAGCTGACATGGTCGGTAGCCATGCTGGCTAGGATAACCTGAAAATTAGAGTCCAACACGAGGACATTTCCTGTTTCTCAATTTACTGGGTGCTTCTATGATCATGTGAGGTTAACTAGCCATCCTTTGCTCACTTGGACAAGCAGTGGTTCTTTGAGGTCTCACGTTAGTATATTCCACAAGCACATTGCCAATCGTTTAACGAGATGCCGACATTACTCCATCTTCTACCCAGAGTTCTTTTTCAAGGTGGTTAAATGGCATCTTTAAAATGCAATGCAATCTTCAAGAAGCAATTGGGAGAGAAGTAAAACAAACCACAAACCACCAGCAGATTAAAACAACAGCAAAATCAATCCGACCCGTTGGTTTGCAATGTAAACAGTGCCAGAGACATCTGGGTAAATAACAGGAGGTTTAAAAGCTAGCAAATAAGTGCCAGGTGCAAGGATATGGGATTTTGTCAAACAAGGTTCCTGCTCTTTGTGGCTTTCAGTCACTACACCATCCACTCCCAAGATGGAGGAATCAATGAGTTTAATGGCACCCCAGGTCTTCAGAAGTATAGTTTAAAGGGAAAATACTGGAACAGGAGGGTACCCCAGAACAAATCCAAGGGGAAGTGAACATTGTTGGTTCTGAAGGGGTAGGAATGGAAAACTGAGAGAAATAGAAGTTAAAATTCTGAAATTAAAAGGGTGTCTTCAGGGAGGTGAGGGGGTCTTGCCCTTAACTCTTACATTTAGTTGTTATTTCAATGTACACAGCTGGACGTAGTGTGTGAAGCCTTATTACATACGCATGTTATGCCACATAAAGCTGATGGCATCATCAGCTGAGGCAAATTTTCAGAAGCAAAATATTTCCAATTATAATCCTTGAATATCTTGAGGTTCGTGTTGAAGATCCCCCTTTGTGACACAGAAGACCGCAGGGGCTGAGGGAGGGGGGAGAGCCTTTCGTTTCAGAAAATTGCCACCACTGGAATGACTTAGCTTTACTGGCAGCAGTGATTTTCAGATATTAAAGAATCCCCTCTCTCTTGTGGCTCCCAAAGGCTCCCTGAGGTGGAAAGAGTTCCCTAGGCAATGTCACAGCCTTAGGGCAGAGGGCAGGAAAGTTTA